ATTGGTAGGTTTTTGGTATCTGTTTTTCACGTGTCTTTCATGGTCATCCCTCATCAGAGACACAGCGTCTCCCATTTATTTTGAAAGTATGCCATACCACTTGAAAACTAGATGTTAAATGCTTTTTTAGGTAGCTCTGACGTAGATTTCATTATCCCTTTCTTAAATAGTGATGATCAGTTTTAGTCTTCAAGTGCACGAACTTCCTGATTAATTAAAGGATAATTAAAATGTAATTTATTTGATACAAGGGCATCAAAACATTATCACATTTTCACTCAATTCCACTGGATGTAATTAAGGACATCAAAGAAAGTTAACAATTTCTTAATATTTTAAACATTGGCATCATTTACAACCAAAATAGGTCCAAAAATATATACTAACCCAGGCATTTATTTCTTTTCATCATCTGTCCTTAATGAGAAATGAGGATAATTACATGCTATGGTTTTGAACTACCTTTGTGATTGCGCTGTACAGTTTATGCTCACTGATTTTTGAGATATATTCCAAATCTGTCAAATTTTTATGCAAAATTAAGTTATGCATTTTCCACTTTAAGTCTAAAAAGGATGAATAAATAGAGGATATTCGATGTTTTGTATTTGGATATGGAATTTATTTCATATTTGATTATGCTATTTTCACGAGTGCGAAGCACAATTGAAAATATAAAAAAAAAATCCTGTCTCATGAGTGAAATAATTTCCATATCCAAATGATAACATTGTATTTTCTGTTTATTACATTTTCTTTGATTTTCCCTTTGCCTCTGTCTTAACACAGTGTCATGGGCTGTGACGTCATAATTGAGCGGTTGAGAGTCATATGGCTTAGAAGTTGTGACATTGAAAACATTTTAACATGGATTTTAGCAATATATTTGGGAAGAAATTAGCAGTTTTAGTCTCTATCAAGACAGTTTAGTTACAAACTCTATCTTATGACAGGCCAAAAATATTTTTTTACTTACTTTGATATCCTTTCACATTGTGACGGAATATCACTTTGGTATCCTTTCACACTGTGAGAGAATATCACTTTTATTCAATAAATAAATGGAGGATATTCAATGTTTTGTAGATGAATATGGAATTTATATCACGAGTGGGACAGGATTTTTTGATATTTTCACGAGTGCGAAGCACGAGTGAAAATATCAAAAAATCCTGTCCCACTCGTGATATAAATTCCATATTCATCTACAAAACATTGAATTTTCTGTTTATTACATTTTCTTTGATTTTCCCTTTGCCTGTGTCTTTTCTTAACAGTGTCATAGGCCTGACGTCATAGTTGAGCGGTTGAGACGTCATAGCTTAGCAGTTGTGCGATTGAAAACATTACATAGCATGGATTTTAGCAAGATATTTGGGAAGAAATTTGCAGTTTTAGCTCTATCAAGATGCTTAGTTACTATCTCTGTCTTATGACAGGCCAGAAATTATTTTTTACTTACTTTGATATCTTTCACACTGTGAGAGAATATCATTTTAGTATCCTTTCACACTGTGAGAGAATATCACTTTTATTCAATTAATAAATCACAGTATTTCACTGTTGAAAGTGTAATAAATCACAGTATTTCACTGTTGAAAATGTAAAAAAAGAATCTCATTCAAAATTTTCTCATCATAAATTCAGAAAAAAAATGAAGCGTTTAAAAATCCAAGATTAGATTATTGGGATCGATATTCATCGTGTATTTTATTTTCGTCCTTGAACCTGCATAAATTCTTCCATAGTTGACTGTGTATGTTTTTGAATGGAAAGATGATCTCTGAATTGAATATTATGATGCCTCATGATGTCTATACATTTTTAATACTGTACGTGTACATAAATTGGTGTATTCAAAATTTAGCGCAATCAGGGGTATGGAGTTTTTGGCGTAATCATGAATTAGCGCTACACATGTCCGTGCCGTGCATTGTATTAGTAAATAATTTCTTAGCGCTATTCATAAATCAGCGCATCGTTGTCCGCGCCAAAGCCGTTAAAATATGAAGTCCGCTTTTTTTAAGTACACATACAGTATTATATATATATATATAAGCATCCAATCAAATGGTGATGGCAAAATAGTCAATTCATACTTAATTTGAAGAGAAGTTCATGAAAATTAAGAATTTAAGGTGTCTTCTGTCATACATGTATGTAGAAGAAAAAAAAACCCTTCTGGAATTCATATATAAAGATTTTTTTTTTTTATTTCAGATTCATAATAATCACAGAATGGCAGCAAGTCCTAAAAACAGACTATAATGCTAATAATTACATTTCCTTTTCAGATAGAATAAATAATAAGAATACAGGCATCCAAATTATAGGTTTTAAATAAGACGGTTAAAAATGTTAATATCAAAATAATGTTTTTCTATGCAATTTTTGGAAGTCTTGAAGTACAAAACTTTTTTTCTTTCTCCATGTTACGACACAGTGTGAAAAAAAAAGGAATTTTGTCCTCCTATTCCGCCCAAACGTATCCTCCTATTGTAAATCAACTATATATATATTTCCCTTAAATATTCTCCCAAATCTACCCGAATTCCCCTGGTTTTGTAGGTCAGTGGAAAAGGTTAGCGTCTTTCTTTTCTCGCACTGTTGTCAAATGATAACGGGTTTATGGACTTTATTGTGATTTTCACTGAAGCGGTTCGGCTATGACATGGAAATGGAGGAAAGGGGGTAATTCTAATCCCTCCCTGATGAAGTGATAGCGCTATCCTGCTATCAGCGTGTATAAGAAGGTCGACAAAAAGGGGTTATTATGTTGTTCAGAAGTTGTCAAAGTTGTTTTCAAAAATTAATTATCAACAAAGTGAAAATACACTTTATGAGACAAGTTGATGGGGGATGATAATAAATTATTTTTTAACTCGGCTGTCCAATCATCAAGAAAGGAATTTAACAAACCATAAGACATGTCATTTTTTTTAAGAAAAAAAAATTCTTATGATCCTGTGGCTTTTATGCTTGAAGGTATCTTTTTCTTCCATGTGAGCATGTTTAACATTTTCCGGATACTTTCTACTGTTTTCAAAGATACCCCCAGCTAGTGCTCTAAACTGTACTGTCCGTTACCTTTTGAGGACATAATTAAATTCTTTAATTTCAATGGTGCCTTTTAATTTTCAAAATTATTTTTTGAATAATAAGAATTAAAAGACCAAAAACACTACTTCTGAAACTACAGGTATACGAACATAAAAAAAAAAATCGACGATTAATTTTTTACTTTATTGAATATTTGTAGTAAGTCAGTGACTTGAAATCAACTATAAATAATGCATAGTTGTTCCTTCTTTTGCAAGGTTTTAGTTTTGTCGACAGTGGTAAGAGCGAACAGTTTCTATGAATCTAATCAATTTTACTTTTTTTTTTCTTGAAACAAAAAATAAATACATGAAAATGAAAACCGATTTTCATTCGATTTTCTCATATGTTCCTTAGGTAGAGAAAATAGAAAACGTATGTCGATCTTAATTTCCCTATTTCTAACAATCCTCTTAAATCACCAAGCACTCTGCTCAGAAAATCAGAATACTCCTTAAATCTTGCTGGAAAATCTCGCACCTGAGTGTTAAAATGTATTTATGTACCGCGGCCCGGTACGTCGGCCATAAAACAATATTGACTCTGACAATAGGTCAATAGGATTTAAATATAATCCATTTAAAACCAACAATAACAAACAAATGAAGCTCTCCTACGACTTCAGACATGAAAAGAGGTACCCTCGTCCTTGTATGCATCGCTTTTACAATCAAAAAGCTGAATGGTGAAGACATGAGAGTGGTACAGGATGGATCGAAAGAATTTCAAAGAACAAACGGATTTGTATCTCATTCGGCAGCAGATTATATGACGAAAATTTTAGAGTTAGAAAATGAAAACTGCAAGAGATGATGTACAAAGATTTGATATGAGAATTGGTTTTATTTTCTCATAGTAAGGTCTGTCATACATTGCGTCTTCAGCAATATATAGTTTTACGAATGGAATGTAAATTGGATTTTTTTAAATGAAGCTGGGTCAACTACTCACATTGGAAAATAAAAGCATGACGTTCAGAAACATGCCAACTCACCACTCATATCGAATCCTGAAAAAAAAAAATACACTTGTAAATTAGTCCTGAGAACGTTTGATTATCAGACGTGAAATCACTCTGTCACTGACAAATTTATAATCTCTATAGGTAGTGCATTTGCCACTATTGAAACACTAAAAGGTAATATAATTTATGAGGCAAAAGTTGGTTCATGATACATGTTCCAAACAATGGCAAAAACATCTGGACTGCTTGATGCTCGTTTCTATAATTGCAATAATTTCGAAATGCTTTCAAACAACAATTACAACGAAAATTTCATTATGAAAACATCTCTTGTTATAGAAAATTTTAAGTCTAAGAAAAATACTATTACTTATAGAATAAAAGTTCTGTATTAAAGATAATGACCATATTATTGTATGAATAAAAAGAAGGTGTGTTATGGTGTTATTTTAGAAGTTATATCAAGTGAATTTCTTTGTATGTGGATACGAAAGTTACGTAATGTTTTAATTTCATAAAAGTACACTATAGAGTGGGATATATGACATTGAGCAAAAAGCAGATTCTCTTTAAAATCACCAAATTAGTTAATTTGGTTCCAGAGATTTATAGATTCACTGATTTCCTGGTAGACTTGTGGGAGTGCAATGATAAATACACGTTTTTGTTGTCTTCTCCCCCTTAGTCAGTATTGACATATATCGTATTCAGAGGAAATCTCTTTGGCGGGGTTTATTTGTATGGAGCAAGGTCAGTAGATAAAGAAAAGTAGGAGGGAGGGATAATAAACCCCTTCCCCTGATAAATTGATTTCAATGTAAGAGCAACAGATTGAAGTCGTCGCCGCCCCCGTTAACAGGACGTGTAGGAAGGCAAATCATAATTCTTTACAAAATTGGTAGATTATTTTTGACTACCACCTGTAGGTATGGAACATTGTTCATGAAGTGGACTGCCGTGTGATACGAACTGATTTACATTCAAAGAAAATAATTCATGAAGCAGCAAGTGGTCATGATATTGGTGCCAGCGTCGGGGCATCTTCGGCGTGTTCGATTCAGCAAGAAATATTGAAAATCTGTTTACTGTCACTTGATAATAAAAATGCGCTCGCCTTGGCGCATTTTGGGGAGGAGTTTTCTTTACATAGCTCTGAACCATTAAATCTTCATTGGATATTTTCATTGTGAAAGATCATTGTTTGATTGAGCAAAACATTAGAAGCGATGGTTTATGATTGACAACAAAGATTTAAAAAAAAAATTAAGAGTTTTCACCCTCTCTCCACCTTTCAAAATTCTTATAGAAAGAAACAAAAGTATCTGATACTCACCTTCGATTGGTTGTGAAAGCCGAGATTATTTTTAATCGCAAACAATAAAAACGAAGCATGATCTAGGAGGGATATTTAAAAGAAACGACGATTGGTTTGGTCAAAAAGTACTGCATTGTTTAAGCGTGAAAGAGAGGTGGTATTTTAGCACAGAATCCGCTTACCGTCTGCCGATAGGGTTGAATAGAGCCATTTTCACCGTTAGGGAAAAACCAACGCTAGAAGATGCTAACATGTTCGACATAGACCACGATGTCATTGAAACTCTAGATTGTTCTTATGTCACACTCGTATCAAAACTTGTGATCAGATCCAAAGAGGGGGACTTCGGTGTTTTATTTTCAACAGAGGCCAGTCAACCAAAGAAACTACATGAAGACCCCGTGCCTCATCATACACTTGTGTCTTAAGTGTGCTTGTCCTACCAGGAATTACAAGATCTAAGAAGATTCTTCTGTGATAGGAAAAACTATCATGATATCTAGGCTATTTATTGATATAAAATTTTTAAAACTCTTGAAGAAGTTACCGTGTTTTGTGAATTATTTTCCCGGGTGGAACGATGTGTAAAGCCACAATCAAAGTTGCTGGTGCCCTAGCCATGCTACTTTATCACATGTTCTTTATCATAGTGATATTGCCTTCATCCATTTCGAGGTCACGGACTAAACTCTCTCTCTGGATTGATGAAAAACAAATAGCTAGCTTCTTCGGTAAGTCCTTAATATATTTTTCCCAGGGACAAATAAGTAATATTTATTTATTGCTCTGTTCTCAGAAAGTAAGTCTCGATTAAGAATTCCGTGTTCGATTTCTCTTTCCGATGAAACTGATTCCCTCGTGAGTTTGACAGGAAAGCATGTTAGTTTCAACGATATCGCTTCTCGCCGACACCAAAACAACCACAGCTTTCAGTTTCCTGGTAAAAGAACACGTAAAAGCTACCTTTGAGCCACTTTGATGAATTCACACTAGTTGTCCCTATAGGATTGAAGGCGGAAAAAATTACAATCTCAGAACCTGAAGTGCCTGTAAGCGATTTGGGTCGTTCTTTTATTCATATTTTACGATCGGAGTGTATTTTTCGTTTACTTTTATGTTTTTGCATGGAATATTTTACAATGAGGCACGCGATAATGTACCAACGTCGTGTAATATCTAGATCATTAATGAATGAAGATTTACTGTTTTAATTACGATACAGACATCTCACAGCATGATTTAAAGCATATCACTCAAAAACAAATATAACAGCCTGAGCTTTAACATTAGAAGTTATATGAAATACGAAGTCTTGCTGTGATGTAATAATTACCACTTTTTAACATATCGGAAAAAGATGGTAGTTGATCTGTTAAAACAAATGAGTTTTTGCTCATTCTTTTTAGACTTTGGGTGCGGATAAATATATATAAATAATTTGTTAATTAAGTTATGAAGGTTGACTTAGTTTATCCTAAACGTGAGAGGCCAATTTCATGATCAGAACATTTTAATATTGTTCAAGGCAGGTGCTAGAGTTTCTTTATACTTGTAATATTTAAATATCATATTTCATCTTTAGCTTTAAAACAATGGCCACATTTTTAAACTCTGCTTTCTACGAGCGGAAGAAACTGAAATGTTATATACATTCATTAAAAATCATAATCAAATATCCGTAGTTTGTCACCTGGAGAAATAAAATTACTTCCAAAATCATTTTAGGTTAATCAGTTCTTCGAATCTATATTACAAGGGCTAGTTTTATGCTGTGCACATGTTAATATACGTTTTATGAATCACCTTAACCTCATTTAATTTTTTAAAAATCTGTTATCAAATTTGTGACAATTGTTACCCGACAAATATTAAGTAATACCGTACTCAAGGCATAATTTGATCATCTCGATTGTCAATAAACGGATAATTCGTATTTCAATGATATTAGATTTATCGTATAATTTGGCTGATTTGTAAATATACACGACAAGTGTCTGTCAATAGAGGTTATTGAAATGATATTCAATGTACACTTAGTGAGGAATTTGAACAACTGATGGAATTTTAATGGAACTTTAATCGAAAAAGAGTTAGTTTCGAAATTAAAGCCTGTTAGACGCTTGTAAAGCACACGGTAAAAATCTTGTTCGAAAGCATAAATAGAATAATCATACAAATGTTTTAGCCTTGGCTAAATTTAAGGCTTGAGGGGAAGCACCTCTTGTAATATGCAGACTCGATGGAATTTGCCCCGTAAACTGTAGGTTCATCTTCGACATGGCCATATATAATTGAAATAAAGAAAAGCCACTATTGACATAATTATACTGCAGAAAATATCGTCTTTGAAAAAGTGGTTGAAAAGTCAGTTAGCACTTTATAACATTTTATTGATGTTCTAAAGCAATTTATTGCAATGAAGAGAATCGACCTTGCACTAGACAATTGCCTCAAGATAAAGAGCAATTCTTAAAGACCTTTTGCAGTTGTACATGTAAACGAGAAAAACAGACATTTTCACTAATGCTGTGCACTTAAAAAAACTCTATAGGTTCCGATATTCAGAATTTCCCGTATTATATCTGGTCTGGCTTTGAACATTTAATCATTAAAATGTCATTTTGCTGCAATTTGAGAGACATTCTTATCAAGATTTCAAACATATGGAATGAATGAATCTAACATACTGTAAATTGAATTTAATTCTTTTAAAATGTTTTATGGACCTCTCATAAACGATAAAAACGTAAGGGAGAAAAAAAATCATAATCTTGAAAAACAGATAAGGGGTACTATTATTTTTTTCCCATTAATAAATATTTTTATCTACCTATAACAATTAACTGTCACCTGTTGAAAGGTAAACATTTTAATGTCTAATATATTTCCATTGAAAGAACACTTTTTTTGAAAAATGATATAATAGAACGACATGATTAAATGTCCCATTCTATGAAAGTGTACATCAAAGTTTAAATCTACCTCGTGATATTATCATCAATTACTTCGATATTATTGTTGCGCAACATTTGATATTTATTATAATGCATCTTAATGAACGTAATTATCAATCATCTGTTCTGGATTATTTATATTTGCTTCGCGAATATTTTTCTCTCAGAAGCTAGCCTATTATATTATAACTTTCAAAGCAACATTCAATTTAATTTGCTAAAGTTTAACTGACTCAAAGAAATAATTTTGTGCTCGAGAGTCATCGTTTTATGTGTTTTGCAGGATACCCCTTGGAAGTTTTCATTATCAGTGATGGATCTGTTGCACCATATTTACTTGATCCGAATGTGGAAGAAAGTATACCCGTAATTCCTCCGGAAGTAGAAACTGTTAACCTCACCTGGGAAGCAGGACCGGATATGGTAAGATAAATTTTGTGGGATCGAAAAGATAAGCGGTATTCCACATCATTGTGTAAAATGAAAGATCCGTGCATTCTGAGTAAAATGCAGATGACCTTGAAAAAACAATTATTTTAAAAATATCTTACTAATTTGTGCATTGTGATTTGTTTTAAATCAGTACACTAAGTCAAATGGCTTATACAATTAACGTTGTCAAAGAAGTATTCTATGGTGTGTACGAACCTAAATGTTTTCCCCCAATAAAATATGCAACTCTGTTCAATTAAACAGAAAACCTCAAAATAATTCAAGGACTATTAATATATTTTTGTTTGTGGTACAAAAATCTGCAACTCTATTCAACTAAACAGAAAAAAACCTCAAAATAATACTCAAGGACTATAAATATATTTGTTTGTGGTACAATGGTTTAGAAAATGCCCGAAACATTTTTTTAATCTCTTTTGTCTATTCCAAAACAAAGATATCCTTAATCTCAAATAGATATCACATGGATACCTAATGGGTCTTTTTTCTTTCTTCCGCCAATTAGTGTCTTCATTCTATAAAGCTATTCGAGCACGACCAGCAAAAAAGCAAATTGCATTCGTCCTAGGACCACTGATCGCTCGTAAATTCATCCGTTTAAAAATTGAATATAAATCCTTTTCCGACACTCATCGGGGTCTTTATACGAAAGCTAAGAAGATAATGCAAATGACATTGAATGGCAACTGAATGACCACAAGAATAAAATGTCTTCGAGGGGTGCAAAAGGCTCCAACAAAAGAATGATAGGGGATAAATCTTTCATATCTTTATCCGGGGCAAACATCAGTTTTGACACATCAAAAGTGTATTTGTAACGGGCGATTTCTTAAAAACTCTTTGTCAGGATTTTGTAGGTTGAAGAACAGAATTTTTGTCCAGATAGAGAAAGAGAGTGTAAGATTTCAAAAAGTAATTATATATAGATAGAAAAAAAACACTCTGGGGTGGAAAAAATTAAAACGACTAATTGTTTTCAATTGTTTATTATCAAAATGACCTTGTTTTTAATTTCGAACAATACAAATAATAAGAATGCACAAATCGCGGGAGGCGAATTGAAAGCTTGAATTTCGCGTCTATAGTACGCAACGAGAGTCAATATGAGCGAGATTTACATTTAGTAAATTAACTGCCAAACTTTCGTCATGCACCGATAAAAAAATCATGAAATGAATCACACATGTATTTTTAATGATTTTTGACAATTAATGCCTAGATGGGAGTCTTTAAATTCTCATTTTAAAAGTAATCAGGCTTTATAAAGCTACTTGAAACAGACGCAAAGTTTTGTTCGCTGTACATACATCGATTTCTCTTAGGATTCAAAAAAAATTAAATCGAACTGAAACAGGGTTAAAATAAGTGTCGATTTTACATCCACGTCAATTTTTTTCCCTTTCGTTGTTCATTTAATCGGTGTTTCTTCTTCGATGAAATAAATCCAACTAAAATAGAAAGATTTACCCACGAAAGTCTCTAAACTGAAACAACAAGCCAATGAAATCATTTTAAAGGATTCTTTCGAACAATTACATCAAAGTGCATTTGAAGATATGTCATGAAACTGTACCCTCTACCCGAAAAATACAGAGAAACGTCACGTTTGTAAAATGCTCTGCAAATAACTTATTACTAGCTATTAAGAAAGCGATACAAACTTCGCCAGGCACTCGACTACACAGATAAATATTTGTGCGACTGTTGAATCAACATTCACCATAATAACAGGAAAGGGGCAACAGATTTGGAACTAAAACACGTTTCTTTGACGTTTATTATAAACAGAAGAACGCGGAGGATGTAGAGAGGTCAAGTGGCGTAGCCATGGCGGATTACGGAAATACCTAAGTTTATGTAAAACACTGAACCCGATCCGATACAGAAAACATTTTGTCTATTTTTAAAGAAATGCTATATGATATTCCGATTTCAGGTGTAAATATGAAGATTACAGAAATCACTGAGCGCTGTGTTTGCGTCTACAGTGTACATTTATGATAAACTGACGATAATCATTGGAAAAAGTACCCCGAGAAAATGATATAGTAAACCTATTGTATAACATACATTTTCCAAAAAGACAAAATTCGCAACACGCTTAAACAACAAGTAGCATTTACTACTGAGTAATTAGACAGGAAGGAATAAAATTAAAACGTCTTCTTAAGCCCAGCTCTGGATTACAACTGACATTGATTGCTCTCTTCATAATAAATTGTCTGCATGTAGGAATGACTTTTAATGTATAGTATTTATTTAATATCTTTCCTCTCTTTAGGTTAAAAAAAACGGGGGTTTGCAAGTATAGCTAAGATTTTTTTTATCCCCCTGCAACATTGCCTATTGACTGGCTCAGTACTGTTGTGGACACGATATTTTGAGTACTATTTGACGCTGCAGAGGTACACAGGGGTACCACCCATTCATTTGAGGTTCAAAAGGTCAAACGTCAAGGTCAATGTTTTGGATATCTTCTTATCAATGGATGGAAACAATATGAAAAGTATCATTTGACCATTTAATCTAAAACTTGCTACAGAAGTAATTAGTGAATGGAGAGATATGATGTATTTGAGGGTTGGTTTGTTTGTTTAATGTCCCTTTGAGAACTTTTTCACCCATATTGGGAGGCCAACACTTTTTTGCATATTTAGACCTACACTCGGCACTTACGGCCTTTGAGCAGTGAGGGGTCTTTTTCGTGCCAGCACCTACAGCGACACGGGACCTCGGTTTATACAGTCTCATCGAAGGGACCGGTCTCCGCGTCACACAGTGGAGTCGAACCCGCAACGCAAGGTTCAACTCCTTACTCCGCGACTCTAAAGCAAACGCACTAACCACTGCGCCAAGCGGGCGACTGTGAATGAGGGTAAAATAGTCATTGTGAAGGTCTCAGTTTTCGTGAGTCATACATAATCAACGTTTACACACCAAAAGTTTCAATTTATTCGTTTTCTATGAAGAACTGACACAATGAAAGATTCTGAAAGAAAATAGTAAACAATACATTCGAGTTTATCCAGACGACAAAAACCTTGGGCTCATTAGAGTCCGTGTCGAGACAAACGCCACGCGAATTCTATTAACACCGCGTGAGCAGCACTGCTATAATGCAGGGTAATTAGAACACTGTCTGCTTCGGATTTTGTCTGGTTTGGCTTTAGCAGATTGGTTAGTGTTCAAGGTTTATGCTTAAAAAAGAATATAAAGTAAATCTGTAAATAATGATGGTAAAGGTCGTGACATCATATTTCTTGAATTATAAAAATAAAATCTATATTTAGACACATTTTTTGTTTCCCTTGACTATTTACATCTTATTCCCGCAGTTATGATATATATCAACCTCAGTAATTATTCAGCATAGAGTTGTGAGCTACTTTGTAGTTTGTTTTCAAAGTATTCTATCAAATCTGGCTTTTTCCTTAGGTAATCTAAATATCATTGGCAATAAAAGATTATTCTTTAATAGGATAGATACGCAAAGGTCAAATTTTGACACAACCAAATTCTTATATTCAGATTTTTGAGTGTAAAGATAAGCTACATGTATGTTGTATTAATCATTTGATGTTGAGCCATTAATCACAATCTTTCTTTCAAAATCCTTGTTCACAGAGAATTAAATGTTGTAAAGTCTACGACTCCTAATTCTTCAGTTTCTGACAGAACTTCCATGCCATTTGTACGTTCTAAGGTATAGGATTGACAGTCTTAAAGTTACTAATTTGCATATGAAGTACAGCATGTATCCTCCAATTTGTCTTTGGAATTTGGATCTAAATATAGGTTTGTTTTAGGGTTCAATGGATCCAGTGGATAGTTGCTATTTCTGCAATTAACATACTGATCATAATAAGCAAATAATTTTCGGATAACGATAGAATGCTTAAAATAGCGAAATATCAGTTATCGGAAGTTTTGACATATAAGTAAAAAGAAATTCCCTCACTCCTCTAAGCTTTGAGACTAAGAAATCAAAATAATTTTTTTTCTATTACATTATCCTACTCAAGTTTGAGCATATGGGCCTTTCGGAAAGTATTAAAATTCTAATTGTTTGATGAAGGTTATCAAAGTGATTTTTCTCAATATAATACGTATCGAAATCTTATGCCATCAAAGAAATTCGTCATCTGCAAAATGAAAAAGCAATGTCAAATTCATGCCATTTATTTCATCCATAAAATATTCCCAAAACTTCGAAAATTTTTTAATAATTTTTGAAGGACGTTGTTTTATTCTGAGGAGATCTCGGTCGCTTTTAAGGTATAGCCTCTCCATGCAAACTTGTAAAGTCCTCCAAATGTTTTATTAGATGAGCAAATACCGATAAGTCTGTACTAACATCTTCAACAGAGATTTAAACAATGATATCATATATTCCAAAGGGCTCTTGAGAAAGGGGTCCAATATTCAGTAGAGAGTTGATAACGTGCAATGATTAAACACAAGGGTGTGACAATCGTGTAAACAGGCTTTAAAAGGCAGTCAGTTAAAAAATTCAAACGTAAAATATGAGCTCTTTTTCTTTTTACTTTTCGATAACGTCAGCGCGTCAGAAACCAACAGATTTATTAGACACATGTTGATTAATATTGCGCTCTCTCTTCAATTGTCCTAATATTAAGGGAGACAGTTATCGGTTTTCTTTTCAGTGAAACTTACTTTTTTTCATCCTGTTTTCACATTTATGTATATATAATGGAATTTATATTTCCCCTGTCAAGTCAATACAGAGTAATTTTTGCAATATATTGTTTATTTGGCGAATTCTTACGTATTATTTATATAAAATGTTTAGTTTCCTTTTCTTTGCTGGTTCAAAATAATTTTTTTGTTCGAAAAATAATAGAATTTAAGGGGAAAAAAAAACCATGTCTCATTTCCTGTATAACTGAATATACATGTATTATAAGACTTCATCTTAGTTAATATTTTTTATCCTATTATTTCTATAACAAATTCCCGAAATGAAGTTCCTATATCGTGATACGACTGATACAAATCATCTACAGGATTTATTAACAGAAACTGAGGTTCAAGTTCTGAAAATGTTAAAGCTTTAAAGGGTCTGAGGTAGATTCCCGTGCAAGTAAATATGTAAAAGAAATCTGACTAACTTTCTACCCACCGAAATTTGTTTGAATGAATTGAAGCAAATGATTGTCACGTTCGATACGAATCTCCGATGCATTCACGTGAACAAGAATTCAACAGCTACCAGGGTGGGCATGCAACTGTTTTACAATGAAGGCCAGCCAAGCTAGGTGTCCTCATTCATTCATAAGACTTTATTTTAACTTTTCAAGGCTATGTCATTGTTGCGGTTATGAGGATGAGCAAGAAAAAGTGAAATCAGTCGCATAATTTCTGTCTACAATTCCATGTTATTTCATTGAAATGAATCGGTGATCGTCATCTTTAAAGAAAATTCCAGTCAAATTTCTATCTCCAATTGCATGTTATTGCAATGAAATGAATCGGCAATTGAATTCTTTAAAGAGCCATGACTTTCTATCAGAGATTTTTTTTATCATACCATTAGTTTTTTTTCTCGTTTTTATTCGGAAGGATTTTGTTCCAGTTTTATTCGCAATCCCTTTTACCACTTCTCCCCTTCGTTAATTTCATACTTCTCTCTCTTTTTTATTAGCATTCCTTGAAGCATTTCATCTAGGTCTGAAAGTCTGTCGTGTTATGCAAAAATGAAGCACGCGCAAAAAAGCCTTATCGTTGTTCTGAAGAGGTGTGCTCGATTGCATCTGTTTGGAATAAGCCGAACCACTAAGTATATTAGCGTGCGTTTGATTTGGAGTAACGAGTGAACAGCGCTATCCAAATCGTGCAAGGAATCTCGATCTATCATACATCATTTTAAACGAGCTTGTCATTAAGATAGAATAACTTTTGATTTATGATGTTATGTGGTTTATTTGTTTAGACAATAAAAAAGGTTTAATAAAAATACGGAACATCAATTGCTCTTAAAAATGTTGTATCTCTTTATAGGACCACTTACTTTGTCAATATTTTTGCTATAATATTAAAAATATTCAATCTTAAAGTTTTCATTTGAACTTCTTATTTGAACTTCATATTGAGTTCATCAATATTGATTCATTTTAAATTCTAGTATTTTGAAGAATTTATAAACATTTTACATATCATGTTCATGAAAGGATTTTTGACAAAGAATTAAATTTGAAAAAAGGGGGAAAATCCCTTGAATCAAGTTTTGCTGAATTATTCTGTATTTTTAAACAATTTTCTTAAGTTTTTATCAAAAGTTTTATTTATTTAATTGTTAAATCATAAGATGATATAAAGCAGTTTGAGATAAATATATACATTCAAAAATTTCACGATTTCTTCAAGTTACCGTGTTTTTCTGTGTTCTTGAAAAAAAAAAGACTAATTAGAGGGCAAACCCTCCTTTGAATGACAATGTGGTATTTTTTCATGTTTATTTGTTTTCTGTCGAGTGCTAGGATGAGTCAATGAAACCCAAATTTAACTATAAAAATGATTAAGCTGTGTCTTTGACATCTAAAGAAATGTTCAGTTGCGAAGAAGACTAGATTTTGCATCAAATGGTTTCATTGGAATGTGTTACCATGTATCTAAGTATACACTAAGGTGGGTGGGGATATTTTTGCACGTGTTTGCATAGAGTTGAGACACTCAAATATTGAACGATTGTAAAAGATGACACTTTTGAATGCTATGTTTGTATCATTGACGAGTTTGCAGTTTTTAATATTGTCAGTAAACAGTGTCTGTCGCCCCGTGCGCTATCGGCAATTTATGATAAATGGCCGCGATCTGAAATAGGCGTGACGAAGAGAACTCGGGACACAAGCAATGAAAACGCGATCAGAGAGGATTACTTCAGATTAAACTGTCATACCTTCTCACGCCTGCTACCAAAAATTACAAATTAATTGGGTTTAATAAACTTTTGTGTGGTTACACGGAGAACTCGGAGGCGTCAGAGAGGCCGACATTGGCAAGAAGCAAATCGTTAAACTCATGTTGCGATGGGCATGTTTCATTTGCTAAAACCGTCAAGTATGTTTCAAGAAAACCACCTCTTGAAATATATTTCATTATTGATAAAAAACAAAACCAAAACAATTTAAGCAATAAAGCTGGACGTTACGTTTTGTTTATTGAAAACATCAATTATCTAATGAATCTATCTGTGGTTTTCTTTATAAGCAGGAACACACGATTGATATGTTTGACATATGGGTTATTATTTTTTTTTGGCGATTTTTTGCAATGAAAAATATGTTTGTTTGTTGAATAATTAAAACATGATTGTTGCAAAATATTTAAACGATATAAATTTAAAACTTCACAAATGAGAGACATAAATCTTCGTAACATTTAAAATTCCATCTAAGTCATTTAGAAAATATTTCTGAAAAAAAATCGTAGGTATCTGAGCGTTAAGACACCACCCATTTCATCAAGGTGGTTCCCCACGCACATTTTCATTTTTTTTTTTGTATAATTATTTGAAGGGGAAAAAAAAAAGATTATAAAAAGTCTTGCGAAACAGACTTTCTTAAAAAATATTTTCGAACATGAATGATTGTACTTTTTTATACTTGGGAAACTCCTTCCTATTGTAAAATGAAATTCGCATATTTCGCCCTAAAAACCACCTGACCCTGAAAATAACGGGGCATCTGCCTTACTTTTTCCATTGACCCGGGAAGGGACAAACTGTCTTGCTAGCTTGCTGTAAAATATCGCGGAAAGCATCGGATCAAAGATGTTGATATGAACCAGTTTAGTCATTTACACATCGTTTAACATTCTCCTGGAAAGACTCTACTAATTATAGCCGGCTGGTCTAATTATTGCCAACGATCATTCTTCTTTTGCCCACCCTCAAACCGGAAGTCGCTTAGGTGCCTGAACAAAATTGCTATAAATGACCTGCCTAATTGAGCCCCCATGTTTATTATCTATAAAGAGGATTATTATTAAATCATTGAAGGAAATTTCCACTTAAATAATACGAAAATGTGGTTAAAATAAAAAAAAAATGGAATGAAAACAAGTAAAGACAACGTGAAAAGGGACGAAAATAAAGTTCTTTTAGAAAGAGAATGTAGAACACGAGAACAATTTCGTGACCATCAAACGATAACAAGACCAAATGTTGCAAAAACTTCACATGCACCGAATTTAAACTACTTAAAAGATTGTCGCTTGAAATAATTCTATCGCCACATGTTTTCCTAATGGGTACAATGCGATAAACGCCCCTACCAGATACAGGATTGTATTTCAGATTAATCCCTCTTTTAAGTTCACTGGTTATACAGGATTATCGGAAAAATTAGTTAACGTATTAATTGAAATCAAATGAACTAATCGAACGTTAATTTTTAAACGATGACTTTACGAAATATTTTGAAAGCTTAAAATACCTCACTCTAATCTCAGGCCCAGTATTCCATTGGAAAAAAAAGTTTTAGGGACATTTTTATAAGAAACGTATACAGTTTTCTGTTTAGTTTGATTTTATTAGCTGCAACACCTTTCTAATGCAAATCCTTTTAGCACATGTTCGTGAATAGCTTCGATTTTCTGATAATCCCGACATTAATGATGTTTGACGATGAGAATTTCTGGTAGTGATCTGTTTGGATTATACTTACAGCCACCAATATAAGTTTGAGTACCATCTTACGACATTCCAAAGCATTATGAGACAAAACACCTTTATAAAATACCCCTTTCAAGTTGATCTGGTAGATTCACATGTAAACAGAGGACATGTAATATATTATTTCTGTGTCTGCGTACATTATTCCTCATGGATACTTGCATATATCTTTTAAATGAAGACATAATTTACTTAAGTATGTTAATACTTAGATAAAATACACGTAAATACGAACATTGAATCATTTAAATTTGATACTTCGACAAATCTTTTTTAAAGTAGAAAACACTGGTACATTTATGAATGAATAACATTCTTTCCAAGCAAACAAAACACACTTGTATTAGGTTTTAAGTCAATCTTAGAGAATACAGTACAAATGATTGCATTTTGTCTAAAATATCACAAAGAGTTGCAATTAAAATACCCAAAGTGTAAGAAAATTTAAGAGGAAATCACCAGCTCACGAAAATTATTTTTTCTAATTCAGGAATATATAAATCAAATTCAAGTAAATTAATAATCTTTATTAGATGATGGTACATGTAAAATCCTCCTTAAAAATCTCTCTGCAGAACAACATGTATTTATACATGCATGTACTTTTTTTTCAGTTCACTTACTGGTTTGACGACTTACAATCCATGGATGAAAACCTCTTGTATAAACCTCTTCTTAGCATTCCATCTTCTGGTGTCATACCGGACGGACCAAAAAGTAAGCTTTACCGACGACACAATATCAATTTCATTAGAGTCAGGAAAATGTTCTACCGACACAATGTCAATTTCATTAGAGTCAGGAAAATGTTCTACCGACACACACAGTGTCAATTTCATAAGTGTCAGGAAAATGTTCTACCGACCCAGTGTCAATTTCTATAGTGTCAGGAAAATTTCGTTCAGATTCGACGTCAATTTCTATGCCAATTTCTATAAATTCTATAAAAGCAATGTTACCGAATAATTATTGAAAGTAGCTCGGCATATGTTGCCTCTACCACAATATGATTAGAAAATTTCTACATCTGTAAAGTCAAAAATTATAATGTCTAGAAAGGAAGAGTTTACCACCAAAAGGTCGGAAAACAATCGATTACCATAGTGCAGAAAGGCACCCTCTATTACATGCATACTACTCACACTATGTCAGAATGGACCCCTCTGTCACAAAAATATCGGGGAGGGGGTATATTAGCAAACAGTTTCCACCACAATGATATCAAAATGAATATTTTTTTCCACTTTCCACAAAGAGGTCAACTTCTAAAAATGTACCCCATGTATAATACGACAGAAAAGACAGCTTTTGACAGTGTCAGAATAGACATGTTTTATTACTATGAGATCAGAATAAACATGTACTTTCTACCACTACGATATCATAGAATATAATGTTTATTGCTAAAATTGGCAATTAGTTAAAGCGAAGATTAGATTCTACTCTATATTTTTGGAACACAAAAAAGGCTCAATAAATTAAGAATCTAGTAGACTGAACATTCCATATACCTGTTAATAAGCTCTAAACCAGAAACTCCTATCAGGATCCAACATTCATTTGCTTCGATGGATGGACTATTATTTTCATTTAAAAAAAAAAAAACAAAAAACAAAAGGACTCCTTAACAGCTGGCAACTTGAACAGAAAAGAAACCGTTTTTTATGCTAAAATGTTTCAAGAATTTTTAATTCTAGATTTGCAGTTTTTGTTAAGGGTCTTTTGTTTTATTAAACACATGTGTTTCAATGTGCACGAAATGTTCTCATTGACTTGACCCAAGTTATATGAAGGGATAAAAATTTAGATATGTAATCAAATTATTTCAAATATCCCGCGTTGTTTTTACGACTTATGACATACTGATATACTGTACAGCTGCATAAAAGATGTTCAAATATTATGAGTGTTGAATTAACTTATCATGTTTAGCTTGGCAATAAAAATGTATCGCATATTATATAAACAGGAGGCTATGATACTCTGTGTATATTAATATCTCGTTTATAAAAATATTCTTTCCAAGGATCTAGAAGTTATCGTAGACAGATAAAGCGGTTAAACTTAGATGAAGCATCTTGGTATCATGTCCAGAAATGATTCACATCGCAATAAACCTCCAGTTCGTATCACCAGCCGTTATAAATATTACATAATTAAACGTTTTGTCCCACAAATATCCAAAATTATCGCTGATTCCATGTCACTCCTAGACAGATATGTGACTGTGCACGATAGCGAAAGGGAGGCCAAGAATGGATGAGCGCAACGTTAAAGCAGTGCTTCGTTTACTGTTCATGCTGAAATACTTAGGCCTCAATATATCCAGGGGAATGACAACATGAATTAAGCAAGATTTAATGAATTATTGATAATATCTATGAATTAATGGGAAATGTGAGGAAAATGTTATCTCCTAAATATTAAAATCCAGTAACGGCTTCGGTTATCGATAGTTCGCCTATACATCAAGGAAAAATTAAAATTCTAGTTTTATCTTGGAAAGGCATAATCATTTAATTTATCATTTATATAATATAATTTATATTCATTTAGCAGTAGGTAAATTAATACGGAAAATAGTCAAATGTTTTTCTCTCTGAAAAGTATTTTCCTGTTTAATCTGTCCGACTTGAGATTTTTTTTCCATGAGAATTTAAGATACATGTATATGTTCGGAACATATTTGTACAGGTAAATATTTGATTTTATATAAAGTTATAAACACATAAAAAAGGATAAAAATATTTCGGTATGTATTTCAACAAAAGCTAATTATATCGCCAAGTGTCGGAGAGAGACGAACTTATCTAGAACGAGGCTAATTAACCGTCAATATTCAGAATATATTGCTCCAGTCTCAAAAATATCTAGACAACGAACCTATCATTGTGGAGTAAAGAGCACGGGAAAAGAATTTTATGCGATAAAAATTAACCTAAAGCCCTAAAAGAAAAATGATTTTACAATTAACTTCAAGAAAATCAAATATTTGATCCGAATCTTTCTACACGTGTTTTCCATCACGAGGGTATCATTGGGTAGTAAATTGGTACACGGGAAGTACCTCAGAATATACGTTTTTATCTACATGGTGTCATTGCACGATTCTCCATCATGTTTTATGACAAACGGGGGTAATTTTAGTTCATTTCCCTGCTGGGGAGAGTGAAAGTTTAACCATCTTAACAAGAGCTTCGTTTTATCGTTCGTCTGTCAAACGTAGAAGTTTTCATGCGTTAGATTTGTTTTGTTCCAATGTATAAGAGATACTGCCAAGTCCTGGCTTTTGTCTGCGATTGATTTCAATCTTGTCTGCAAGGCGAAGGTCTTCAATCCGAAGATTTTAAAGTACAAGAGAGAAAGGATAGAAAAGATGTATTAGAAAGTAGAATACCTTTCAGAGATAAATCTTTACTACAATAAAAAAAATTGAAGGCCTTTTTGAAAAAGTGTCAGAAAAAATGTGATATGATTTAAATTTGAGGACATGTCCTAAAAATAACTGGATAAAATAATCATAGTAACCAACACACTTACCAAACAGAAAGGATGTGCTCCTAATTGCAAACAATGGTTAATAATGACACAACATACTAATCTATTATTTACATCTGTTAAGTCTGCATCAAAATTATATTTGCTATGTCTGCATCAAAATTGCCTCTTGTTGTTTGAATTCTCTAAATCTCAATTTCTTTCACATGCAAACATTTAAAAGCCATTCCAATAAATTCCATAAAACTTGTTGCAAAAGTTTCAAAAAGATAAGCTTTGTAATTTCAAGGGTTTCCTCCCTACTTTCAATAAATTAGTACAAGAGGCAAACCCTCAATAAACGATTATACTGCTATCGAGTACATATCGCTCACTCTAATAGATGCTTGAAACCAAAGCGTTTGGTCGACATTGACAAGGTTATCGAAGAAGCGATATTTCCTTTCAATGGCGATACGTATTGGGAAATAGAACATAACAAAGGTTTACTGTACACAAACAATTTTAAAAAAATATTTCGTAACAGCTCCTTCAGTGTTCTTTTCTGTATCGATTACATTCATGCTTAAGATTTTAGGAAAGTTTCCACATTCCTTCAAAAATCATTCAGCGCTTAATTTTTCAGTGTTACATGCCTTTGTCTGTCTTTATTAAATTTCTTAAATTAAAAATTTAAACTCAGTCATTTTTGTGACATTTTGAAAATAGGCACTTGCATTACTTAAATTTCAACCGCCTACTAAACAATTTCTTTCCTTGATTTTCAAGGTCATCCAAAACATGCCCTTTGTAAACAATGGTGAAGCAAATTGTTGCTGCTGGTCTTAATGCCTGCATTGATGCTAGTCTTAATGCAAGCAATCTTTGCTTTTAACCTAAATCTGTGTTGTGAACATCACCCAAGGTCATGCCGCTAAGGTCAAGGTCACTCAAAAAAAAAAAAAAAATGTCTGTTACCATGTACATCTTTTGGCAAAAAAGTTCTGGTAACTAACTCAAGAAAAAGGTAAACATTCTTTAAGTAACAACTTTCTGACATAGTTTTCAACTTGAAAATATTTGTAGAGAGCACTCACCCTTCACTTAAAGGGATATGTTTTAACTTGATGTATATCGTGATTATATTTTATTTTGCATAATATACAGTGCCAATTGATAAAAATCAAAAGTCAGTAGGTAATCCTGTGTAATGAAATAATTCTCTTTAATGATTGTGATTTACTTACTGAAGAATGAATTTAAACTGTACATGTTAACCTTTGCTCGAGAATTCAAACCTATTCAAAATTTTGCTTAATTTCTGTCATTAATTTCTGTAAATCCCAACAAAATACGTGTATATATAAAGATGACTCTTCATTAAGGGGCATTCTACAGTAGGTCAGAGGAAATAGTTTTGCAATATAATCTTGACAAAAGAGTCTTCACAGATAATGCTACTTCAATGAAAACGTAGATTCTCTCTTTCCTTTTCAAAGGTGTGAAATGTGTTCAGAATATCAAGCATGGTTGAAACATATTCAGTTCCTGTTTGATGTTTCTTACGTCATCGCCATAAAACAAAACCGATCTTCTATCACTCAAAGCTTGCATTTTTAAGAGAATGCATTGTTCACTTTCTTTTATCACACTCTTTATACTTAAAGGTATAGCGAAGGTTGACATATATGTCACTAGTTTTAATCTTATATATCAAAAAGTCATGCTTTATGACGTCACAATTATTCTTTTAAATATTCTCTCTAGTCAAATATGAACTTTGTTCATTTGTGAATTACAGATAAACAATAACCAAAAAAAGTGATTAAATTTCCATTTACATTTTTGAATTTAAGTGCTAAAAAAAGTTTGCAATAGAAATCAAAACCTATAGTTGTCAAAACACGTGATGAACAAACTGTACAGTGCTGTTTCATGTTGGTGAGATTTAGAAGAGACGATCAGATGAAGAAAATTCGACCTTTCAAACGACAAGCAAAATTATTATGTAAATATTAGTGACTATTATATGATCCCTATTAGTGTTATCTGTCAATATACTACCTTAAATTTAATTAATTAAGGATATTATGTTTTATTCAGTTTTTCAGATGTCTATACCATGTACGGGTCGAGACACGGGTATTGCTGGACTAGAACTAGGATTACAGATATTCAATAAACATGGTCGACCTATACGTGGATCGCCCATGAAGTTGAAATTAAAGAAACAATGCAGTGCAATAGGTATAAAATGGCTTATTTAAAAAAAATTTAAATACTTTGACTTAAGTTGCTGAGTGCAGAAGTAATTGATATATATTTAAAATTCCACAATTTATCTATACCCTTACGAACTGTGTCTACTCATAAATCAAAATTGTCCCCTAGGGGTATAAGCACTTTCTTCAAAAGATTTGAAGTGTGTTAATATGTATATTTTGTAGTTGCGTCTGATCTCTGTAACTTTGAGTGTTTGAATGGTGGACGTTGTGGTCAGTATGGCTTTTGTGAGTGTGCCCAAGGCTTCCACGGCCCTCGCTGTGAAAAATGTAAGTATATTGCACTTGAGACTGTAATAGCCAACATGCATATGAAATGCACAATGAATAAAGAAACACAACTCCAGTGTCAAAATAAGATCCGTGTTTAAGGCCTGTGAAAAATAAATCACTTTCCTCTGCATACTTATATTAATAATCATAGCAATAAGTCACTGAAATAATCTTCCTTCAATCTTACTTTATACAGCAGCTGCAGACTTGTCAATAAAATCTGAAAAACCACTTACCATTATTCTCAGCAAATAGAAAAATATTATGCGTTTCATATCTGCGCATACAGTACAATGTAACATCTACAAAATATTTCATATCTTATTATCATTTTGCACTTTTCTCTTTCACAAGATTGTCTCTTCATCAGTTAATACATGTAATAAATTTTCTGTCTTACGATGACGTAATTTCACATTTCACAGCACTTTGTGATCCTGCTTGTGAAAATAACGGCACTTGTATGTCACCGGAAGTGTGTATTTGCCCCGATGGTTTTTCCGGTAAAAGATGCGAGAGGGGTAAGGATGGGGATAGCAATCAATGTATGTTGTGCCTTTTCTTTTTCAGATGATACGTCATTTGCATGAGAACAATTAGAAAACAAACATCAGATTGGGAATTCCAACGATAGATTGATTTCGGTTAAAATTACTGACATTTTCCGGACACATATAAAATTGCATAGTCATCAAAGTAATTTAAGTGTGCTGTAAATCGAGTTTTGATATACAAAGAAAAAAAGGCTGCTATAACAGGACTGTTTGAATTCTAAAATTTTGTTTTAGTGCAAATGGCAGCGTCGATGTTGTAATCTTTTTTTTATTCAGATAACTATAAATTCCGTAACTTACTCTTTCTTTGTTATACATTTTTCCTTTGAATTTCAACAGCTCTATGTAAATCACCTTGCCAGCATGGCGGTCGATGTATACAGGAAGACGTCTGCTGGTGTACATCTGGTTACCTTGGAAACGCATGCCAATATAGTACGTCTTTACGGTTGTCAAGTATTATACAAATCACCCCTTTTTTACTAAAACTAAATATATATACCCTAATCAACACAGGAGTATATTTACTTTTGCATAGAACATTATTTGTTGCACATAAAAAATATCAAATCAAACATCAGAATAACATTTATGAAACGAACAGTAAATATGAATGGTAAAATTTTTAAGATCTCATACAGGCAAACAACCCTCCACTTTGTTGCATGTACTCCTTTTTAGGCAAATGCAAACATTGTTTATCTTATTTACACATGTACAGGCAAATGTAAACCTTGTAAACCTCTTTACAGGCAAGTGTAAACTGTAAATCTCTTTACAGGCAAGTGTAAACCTAACTGCCAAAATGGTGGGACCTGTATAGGCGTAAATAAATGCCGGTGTCCGGTTGGTTACCAGGGTAACTTGTGTCAGCAAAGTGAGTACCATTGCATTCATTTTCTCATCAGTTTTGCTGGAAAATAAATCAACAATGTTTAATTAGCCAACATCGTGAAAAAATGCAAAGCTCGAAAAAGATAAAACCAGGATAAATCTAAAAGTCAAAGGACTTTGCACTTTGTAAAAGATAAGATCGCTCAATTTGCACTGATGCTGAAAATCGTTGTCTCTCTTAAGACATTGTCAATAACTTTATACTTTTAACAGGGTCATAAAATTGAGCTTTAGTACTCCAAAAACAAGTTTTGCTGATATGAAAGATATTCTAATTGCTATAACAGGACGTAGTAGGAGACGAAAGGGCATTAAAACTGGATATGGGAAAAAGAAGAAAAACAAAAAGAAAAGAAAGAAGAAGAAGAAGAAAAAGAAGAAGGGAAAGAAGAAGAATCTCGATAATAAAAAACCAAGGAATCCTAAAAATAATAAGAAAAAGAGGACGAGGCTAAAATTAAAACGTATGTAAAATTAAATAATTGAATCAGATAATAAGAATTTTTTTTTCAATTATGTTTAATATCAGATTCAAGATCTGACACTTTCAAAATACATAATGATTCAATCCCTTTATGAAACACAAAAATAACAAGAGGGCCATGGGCCACAACACTCATCTGAGTAACTATGGCTCTGTTGTTCTTCAACAGCAGATTTTTTACCCTTTCTATTCCAATCTAAAACTTTGATCACATATTGTGGCCCCACCCCACTCAACCCCCGGCTTTCATGATTTGAACAAGCTTGATTCTAAGCAACCTGAGGATGCCTCCATATAAATATGACTAATCATGACTTTCCTGTTCTTTAGAAGAATATTTTAAAGTTTTTTCCTACAGAATCCTAGCCTAAATATGTATCAAACATTGATTGCTCATTGTGGCCCCGAACTATACCCTAACAAAAAAATGCTATAGTAAACTATAGTTAACTATAGTTTACTATAGTTAACTATGTAGTAAATTAAAGTTCCAAAGTTTTTACTATAGTAAATCAAAGTTCCAAAGTTTTCACTAGAGTAAATCAAAGTTCCAAAGTTTTTACTATAGTAAATCAAAGTTCCAAAGTTTTCACTATAGTAAATCAAAGTTCCAAAGTTTTCACTATAGTAAGTCAAAGTTCGAAAGTTTTTACTATAGTTAATTAAAGTTTCAAAGTTTTTCCTATACTTAATAAAAGTTTCAAAGGTTTTTCATTAGCTTAACAACTTATGTATTTTTATTATTTTTTTATTATTTAGCCGTTTTAGGGGAGGGGTGGATATGGGGTTGGTTGGGGCTGGTTTTTGTTGTACATCTTTATTTAAATATACAAAGTAGTTAATTCAAATGCAATATTTACATTTATAAATTAAAAAAAAATACATGTTGACTGAAGTTGATGAAGCAGATATTTTGATTCTAAATGACACAATAATATATTATTTTTTTCTCCATAAATAAGACTTACGTTACATCTGCATAACATTAAAATTAAATGCATTGAAATAAATATTGCCTATTTATCGGCGCCAGCGACAACCTTTACATTAAAATTCATATCTTGTACATTATTCTTTTAGGGGAGGGGTCGGGTTTTAAAAATGTTCCCTAAAGCTTTTATGAATCTTAAACTTGAAATATCATAAAATGTAAAGAATGGGAATCAAAAACATAATTCCACAGGATTTATCGTACTTAATCAAAGTTTCAAAGTTTTTACTATAGTAAATCAAAGTTTCAAAGTTTTTACTATAGTAAATCAAAGTTCCAAAGTTTTTACTATAGTAAATCAAAGTTCCAACGTTTTCACTACAGGAGATCAAAGTTCCAAAGTTTTCACTATAGTAAATCAAAGTTCCAAAGTTTTCACTATAGTAAATCAAAGTTCCAAAGTTTTCACTATAGTAAATCAAAGTTCCAAAGTTTTAACTATAGTAAATCAAAGTTCCAAAGTTTTAACTCAAAGTTCCAAAGTTTTAACTATAGTAAATCAAAGTTCCAAAGTTTTAACTATAGTAAATCAAAGTTCCAAAGTTTTTACTTTGGTACTATAGTTAACTATAGTAAACTATAGTTAACTATAGTTTACTATAGTATTTTTTGTTAGGGTAACCCCGGGGGTCATGATTTGAACAAACTTGAATTTACATACCATAGGATGCTTTCATCTGCATATGACAAATTATGGCTTTCCTGTTCTTTAGAAGATTTTTAAAGATTTTTCCTTTACAATCCTATGTAAAACTTGATTGCCCAATGTGTGACTCTAGTCCAGGAGCCAATTGAGCTTTTCTGCTTGCATTTTGTCCGTCCTACATCTGTCCGTCTGTGTAGCTGTCTGTAAGCTCTTCACATTTTGGACTTCTTTTCAAGATCCACTGGTCCAATTTCAAACAAACTTGCCACAAAGCATCCTTGGGAAAAAGGAATTTATATTTGTTTCTTCTTGGGAAGAAGTTCAAAATATGAAGAGCTTGCAGACAGACAGACAGAGGGAGGACGGACAAAATGCGATCAGAAAAGCTCAGTTGAGCTTTCAGCTCAGATGGGCTAAAATATTACATGTGAAGGAAGGATTTTGAATAGAATTAATGATAAAAGTAATATTTTTTACAGGAAAGAAAACGTTACTAGCTGATATAACTAGATTTGCTAGACGAAAACGAAGGAGGCAACAAAAGCAACGTGAGAGAGCACAGAGACGAAAAGAAAAAGCAAAAAGGAAACGAAAGCCTTACGTGAGGTGATAAAGGGCAAAACCTTTGTAGAGTGGACAACTTTTATACGGATGTCTATCTGATCTGTGTATAGCATTATTATTATACGTGCATTGTGCCGGTTGAAATAATACGGGTTTCTAATAGACACAACAGAAAAAGGAACTTAAAATTAACTTAAGTCCTATCCTCAATGTCTGTGATAACTCATATGCATTGTAGACAATGAAAGTGAGTGCATGTGAAGCAATGTATTCACTATTTTTAAATATGTGCTTAATTATGCTGATGTGTCAATGCAATATTATAAGTTTTATTATAATAATTATAATAATATTTTAATAATCCAAAAAAAATGCTTTTATATCTGTTGGAAAAATATGTGAGCTAAATTTAAACTTTTTTCTTAACATTTGTACAATGTACTTGTGAAAAAAAGAAAGAAAATGAAAATTCATTATGAAATTTTACGTTAATTTGAATACGGAAAATTACAGTTATTCTTCTTGTTAGGTAAAAAATCACAATTAAAAAAATTAAAAATTAAAAATTAAAAGTAACTTATTTTCAAATATTGCAATTTGAATGTAGACCATACAATCCGTAAGTGAGTTGCTTCTTGAAGTGTTGAAATGAAAGGAACTGAATTCACAGGAACGTCTTCTTCACCAACCTGTCTGCAAGACGTAAATAGTAACACATAATTTAGAACTGGAATTATTTTTATACTGGTAATCGACATAATGTATATGAAATTTGAAATCTTGAGTAAATGAATTCTAAAATCTCAACTTTTTTTGGCGAAGCATACTTGAGGGCTTTAAAATATCTTTAAAAGTTGAACTAACTTCTATTGTCTAGAAAAAAGTATGGTAAAGAATACTTATCAAAGTTTTGAGACTAAAGGTATGCTTTTTAATAATTCTGAAGTTGAATTAGTTTTGCAAGAGTAAAAATAAACATGGTTAATTTTATATAATTATGTAATATAAAACTATACTCACACATTGCCGTTTTCTATATTTATTAATGAAAAACTTGTGTGCTATTTGAATAATTGTACAAAACACAATGATCGAAAATAAATTATTTTATTCTAAGAAATATCTGTTTTAATCACCGAATTATTGTTGGTTTAGTTCTGCATAGTTGTAATTTACAAAATTAAGTCCTAAATGCTCTTAAGAGAAGGCGTTTTTTCCCATGATTTCATCCTGCATAACGATCTTCCGCAACACCTTTGCTCCAAAGATATCCGGGGGTCTTTGTTTTTATTATTTTTATACAACAGACCACCTTTACTCCACCAACGCTTTTTTTCAGGCAATTTCCTGCTTGATTAATGAAAATTTCTGGTGTATGATTAATGAAAGATGCCGAATACTCTGAATTCGAGGCGATGGATGAATGGCAGACCGCGCCAAATGGCATCCATCTTGACATAGAGAAACACAATGTGTATTGTTTATTATGGGTGTTTTTCGTTTAACAATACAGGTGGCAATGTTGGAATGTTTTGTCAGATTATAGGGCGATATGGTGAGGAAAGTGATGTTCCGCATGATTGATTCTTTAAGAAGTTCCTGAAACGTATTTATTCCCAGAATAAAAAAAAACACCCAAAATGCTCGTTGATGGATCTGAGAGACCAGGAATGCATGTTCGATGTTAGATACAATGTTTTATCAACCTTTCCATATCTGTAAGATTAATGGAGCAAGAGAATAAGATAGAAAAAACAATTTTTAAATCGTTAACGACCCGGATAAACAGTATATAATCGCTTGAGAAAAAAGGAAAGTACAAGGCAAATAGACATTAAAAAAAGCACAAAGGAGATTTAACCTTGGTTCATTCGTTTTTGTGGGTTTAACCCTTGTTTTAAAAGTTTACTGAATGACTTTTTAAGAAATAAATGAAACATAAATACTGTGTTGGTATACATGTTTATGAGAAATCATTTTGAAGAAAAGTAATTTGATAAAATCTATTGATACATAGCAAAATTCAAACAAGATGTATTTAATCTACACACATGCTCGAGATTGGCCATTTCTAATGATAAACAGACTAAGATTACACACTTTTTTATTAGTAACCTTGAAACTGTCCAAATGACGTTGGGTAAAGGTCAATACATAGTCTCAGCTCAATCATGAGCTTCCAATATTTATCCATTACAAGAAATTATCCATTAATAAAAGTCACCTTGAACATGCCAAAATGACCTTGAATCAATGTCATATCAAACCCTCTGAAAATAAGTAATCTTGGTGAAGTATCAATATCCAACGCTTTTCCATTAGAAAGTGACTTTGAAGTTGCCTAATTATAAGTGGCCTTAGTTAAAGCTCATGACACTCAGATCAAAAGCACCAAGTATGAGTTATCAATGATTACCATCACAAGACATGGTGAGGGCAGGAATTTTACAATTTTTGACGGTGACCTCTTGAATTTGATCAAAAGGTCAAGATTATTACAAACCCTCACGTCATAAACAATCTTAGCGCAAAGTATGAACTTCCAGTGTTTGTTCATTTGAAAGCTTAAGGGCCGTAGACGAAGCTTAAAATTTTTGGACAGAGACATTGAAGTTACCCAAATGATTTTGGGTTAAAATCAAAACATATTCTCCGGTCGTAGTCAATCTTTATGTCAAGAATGAGCTTAAATTCCAATGGTTCTTTTTTACAAAGTTATGGACTTGGCACAACGTACTGCAAGGACAGACGGAGAAACAGCTAGACGGACAATTAGACTGACAAGGTGACAGCTAAATATGAAAGCTCTCATGTATATCTATAATTTTGCCAAAGTATAAATGTCTCTAACTTATATGGTTCAAAGTTATCAGGAAAGTTACAGTTTATGACAAATGTACAATATGGCATATGACAGACTGTCAGACAGGAGAAAACAATATGACCCCCCTTCCCGATCCTCGATCTCAGGACATAAAAATATACAAAGAAACCTATAACGTTTAACTGAGCAGAAAGATTTGGGCTGTTGGCCATGACTAACACATGTTACTGCATCTATTATTAACGATTATTAAGTCATATATTAAACTTTACCAAAAACAGTTGGTGTCTTTTAAAATAAGGAATCAAATAATTAGAAAGCTAGAAGTACATGTAACACACAACATGCCACGAAAAACAAATATGTTAAAATTTATCTCATAGTTGATGTGTATAAAAATTCCTCTTGACCTTTGCAACAATAGAACATCTGTAGTGACAATAACCGAAAAATTCTAGAGTAAACAACAGTTTACTATAGTCACATATACATGTAGTAACATACTGTACTTTAACTATACTTTACTATCGTATCAAAGTTTTAATATAGTAAATCAAAGTATTTTTAATGTGCTTTTCAAATTATTGTATAATGTATTTCATTTTCTCCAATTCTTGCGAATTCTTTTAATAAAACAGAAATATAACTTATGAATTAAAATATTATTTCCAACATTTACCTGATTAATATTGAATTTAAGACCCTAAATCTCATAAAAATTCTAAGTTTCAGAGTTTATTAAAGTATTACAGTATTAAAGTATGAACTATGGCAAACTATAGTTAACAATAATATATTTGTATATAAATTTTTTAAAATAAAACGTATTCTAAAACCAAAGCTAGAAAATAAAGATAATTAAATTTGAATAACACAAGAAAAGCTAAGGAAAAGTCATGCTCATCCTCTTTGTTGTTAGAGGAAAAAGAATGTGTGTTTTCTCAGAAAATATGACAACATCGTCAGGTAGTATGGTAATTGCATGTCAGTATATCTTTGCTCTTTAATGTAAGTAGATTACACAATATTAAAGCTCGAATCTGAAAATGAAGGAATGCAAGAGAAAGGCAGTATTCTTAAATTGCCATTTTGTTGTGCGCTTCTGATAAGTAGACTGCCTCATGTCTTTCCTTCTCAATAATAAAATTAATAATAATGATGATAATGAAATCCTTCAAATTTATTTAATTTATTTAATGAAATTTAGCAGAAAATATAAAGAGTTATAAGCACTTATCATGCTAATGTAATATTTATACTTATATATTTTTTCAGCTCAATAAAGAAATACCAGTGCACATACGTTTGTCGAAATCAATTTTCTAAAATCATTTTCCTATCGTTTTTTTCAATACCAATACTAAATGTCTCACATTCTTGTACATACTTAAAATTGATGAATCGAAATCTAATAACAAGGCAAATCCATCAAATTAAATATTTATAGTTCAAAAGTGGGATATTAAACTTTCAATTGAAATCCAATATATATATATTTTTTTTCATATTGATGAAAAATAATTATAGTAAGGTCATTTGCAACGTAGTACATGTACTTTACAATGTACCTTTCTTACTGATAAATTTCCAAGATAATTCCACAATGACATAAAATACGGTCAAGATATTTGCCTGTAATACAAGAAGAACCAAATATTGTCATATCTCATTCATATTAAAATCGAATTTTCTCAAAACCTGCTTTGTTCTTTACCTGTCCGTACAATAATAGTTACATTATTGAATACTTTTCTGTTAATCAGGTTACATTGCGCAAAATGTTACACAGGATATACAATGATAAAATATTAAAATTCTATTTTAGAAATTTTATGTAAAGCACTCAACTGTTCAAATTTCACTTTTATGAAATTATCTAATATATCATGCAGAAAGGAAACTTACAAGAGAGATAGGCAGACTACAATTGTACCTTTGAAGAAGAAAATCGTTTCGCAATGTTTCGAAAATTGTGTAATTGTTATCACGATAACGAAGGGTCATCAAGCTCAAAAGTACATTGAAACAATGCAAAGTTTGGGCAGAGCAAACACGGACCTCTAAAAGCATTAGAGGTGGGATCAGGTGCCATGGAGGATTAAGCATACCCTGTCGACCGGTCACTCCCGCTGTGTGCTCCTTGTCATGATCGGGAAAACAGACAATTCAGTGTGAAAATGAGGGCCTGAAAATTTGTATGAAAATATCTGTCAATATTCGACTTAAAGATAGATTATTGGCTAACAAGGTCAATGTGTCGATCATAGAATTGGTGAAATGTAGACTTTAAACGAGACTAATGATATCCTTATTTCATAAACTTATTCGTCTATAGCTTGTTTCATTTCAGAAATTGTTCGTACGTAGAACATGCTTGTGGGCATCGAATCAACTGGAAGACATAAACTCCATATGCAGGTGATAATTGTATATAGCTATAGCTACATGAATAAGGGAAGTCAAAGTCATCACGTTTATCATTAAGTTTAGTTGTTAGTTTGCCATTAATGTCTTTCTCTAGTAAACGGGTGTGTCAAACT